TCGTGGTGACCCTTTGGGTCAATGACCCCTGGGGCCAATTTCCGCTGGAGGTCAGTGACCTCTAGGTATTTGACATCTGGAGCCTCGTGACCTATGCAGCTGATGCCCATTAATTAGAACTCTGCGACCTGGAGGATACAGCCCCTAACGAGGATCCGCTACGTCTCTCGTTGGGAGGTCCCCGACTGAGGTACGAGGGGGATGGGATTAGAGACTCGAGAGGCGCAGGCGGTGACGCGAGCTGGAGGTCCGAGGGCCCTGTGGCCCAAAGGCCCTGTGACCCAAGGGCCCTGGAACGCCACCTGCTCCAGTCACCCCACGACCCTCGCACCCCATGCGTTGTCCTGTGACCTCGCAGCGGATTTGAGACAAATTTCGGAGTCTCGGTGGAGTTTATGACTCGGAAGCACCCACTCGTATTGCACATCTCGTCCATATGATGCTGGTTGTAATTTTGCTGATTGTGATGATATGTTGCTAATGACTTTTGATGGTAATGATTTTGATGGCGGTATTTTGATGATTTTAATGACGATGAAGTTGATGATGCTGATGGAGCCAGAGGGCAGATGGGATCAATAAAGGCCTGGATTTCACACGGACACAGAGTTGAACCTGCTTGGGAGTGGTTGACGGGCGTGAGGGCAGACGTCACTTCGGCCTCATTTCCATGACAACACGGCCACGCGGATCTAGTCGCAGCAGTAACACGACACGGGTAATGGGACAATGTGGGGGGGGGGTGCAGCCCCCAATCCATCCCTCCCTCCCTCCTTCCCCCTACATCTCTCAATATCCCCCACGCCCTCCATTCCCATCTCTTCCTCTCTCCATCCCCGTCCATCTCCTCTCCCTCTCCCCGCAGCCCCCATCCCATTAACGATTCGGGTCATCGTCACCGTAGACAGCTCTTCCCCATGACGTCATCTACCCCCTCCCCCCTCTCCCCAGCGCCCGACCGACGCACAGCGTCTGATGAATTTTTAAAACCTTGAGACAGTGGGGTCAGCGTCGTCAGAGCACGGCTCTCTCCCTCCCCCCCTCCTCCCCTTCTTCCCCCCTCCCCGCTATGCACCGTAGTGGCCCTGGTCTGGCTGCTCTCTCACCAAACGTCACCACGAGCGACGAGGAGCGACGAGGAGGAATGTAGAGAACCGCACTCTCACGCCGCGGCACCACGTTTATTACCACTTCTACAGCCGCGCCCTACAACTGCACCAAACTCGACAACCACACCGCACTGCAACCTGCATGCCAATTAAGAGGGTTACACAAACCACATCCCACCACCACCAACACCTCCACCCAGAATCCCGCCCCAGCACTGTGGAATTTCCACCGCTAGCTCAGGGCAGTGTCGTCCCATCGCTCGTCAGCGCCGGAAGACTATGAAGGGTATTGCCTCCCACCAACACACAACCGCCTACAACCACAGAGGTAGATGACGAGAGCTATTCGCCAGAAAGAGGTGAACGTTGAGACTTCACAGTGCCATCACTTCCCCCCCTCCTCCCACCACGCTCCCCCCCCACCCCCTCACAGCTCCTCCCGGGGCTCTGTCTCCTTCAACTCCTCGGGGTGGAAGTCGGGGTTAGGGCTGCCGTCGGCGAGCAGCAGGCGGTAGGCCATGTACCCCACGATGGGGTACTTGGCCTTGTAGACCCCGGAGAACACCCTCTCCAGAGACTCCAGCTGATCCTGCGTCAGTCCGGACTGCAGCGAGGCGAGGGCAAAGGGGGACATGAAGGGGGTGGGGGGGAGGGGGTGAAATATGGAAGGGGCCTGGGTGCGGGTGTAAAAACTGCTCCCATTCCCCTTCTGCCCCCCCCACCACTTTTCCCCACTGCCCCCCCCCCCCTCACCGTGTCACTGATGAGATCTTCCGGAGCGAGGGACATCTTGGCCACGGCCCGCGTGGAGTCTCGCCCGGCCAGCGCATTGTAGGAGGCCCCCTTCCCGTAGTACCCTGCCCCCCCCCCCCCCACAGAGCGCATGTAGGGAAGCACACAGTCATTGTTTGATGGGGTGGGGAGTGGATTCATTGATCGCGGGGGGTGGCTAGGCAGGAGGCATCTGCTTAGCAACATCATCATCAACTCCATCATCATCAACTCCATCATCATCATCAAGCTTGATTATTTCAGTTGAGCCAAGCAACAAGGCAAGATCCCTATTTCATTGAGCCAAGCAGTTCTGTTACAAGGACAACCACAGTCCAAGACCGTCGGACGTGGAGGCAGTTACAGGGCATCGCAAGGTGGAGGGAATGTGCAAACTGACAGCAAAAACAACAGCGAATTATTATTCATGAAACCCACGCCAAAACTCACTGGAAATCTCTATCATTATGATCATCATCCTCACCGTAACAGCTACACCAGCATCACAACCACTACCATAAAAACCATCATTAACGGAGCGAACTCAATTGTCGCCGCCACGATCACTACCATCGCGTTTGCACGAAGAGATAAACAATCACAGCGGCACCTCCAGCACCCTCCACACCCCACGTGGGAGATCTACGCCCCACGAGAGAGATCCACGCCCCACGTGGGAGATCCACGCCCCACGTGGGAGATCCACGCCCCACGTGGGAGATCCACACCCCACGTGGGAGATCCACACCCCACGTGGGAGATTCACACCCCACGTGGGAGATCAAGTCAGCCGCACTGGACACCGCTCACTACTCTCAACTGAATTCGGCTAAAAGCCTCTTCAAACGCGTGTCTCTGGGCGTGCTTTAAAGATGGAAGCGAGCAGGAGGGGCAGAGGTGATCGGGCAGGAAAATCAGCAGCAGTAATAGCATCAACAACAGCAGCAGCAACAACATTTCATCAACATCTTCATAGTCAAAAACATATCCATCATCAACCTCAATAACGATAACTATCATAATCCATCACCGGTACCATTCTCATCGTCCTCATCATCACAATCCTCATCATCTGCATAACGAGCAACAGCGCCCATCATCATCATAACCTCATCGCCATCTTCATTCGTCTCAATAATCGTAGTCGGCATCGCAATCAATCACCATCACAGTTACCCTCATCCTCACCATCTGCCGCCCAAGCTCACTCCTACTTATTATTATTGCAACCCCCACCCACTCGCTATCCCCCACGGATGGATCTCTAGACCCCCTCCCCCCACCACGTGACCCCCGCGCACCTTTCCCCGTGGAGACGTCGAACACAACTCCATTGACGGCCATGTAGATCGGCTTCTCGGGCTGTCGGACAGAGGGGTGGGGGGTGGGAGTGGGGAGCGCACAGGGGTCAGCATCGGACCCCTAAACCCTGGATCCCACAGACCAAGGCACAAGAAACCCCGGGTGCAGGTAGGCATGCCGGCAGACACAGGTGAATGGGCAGGTAGGCAGGCATGTGGGGAGGGAGGTGATCGCGGGGGCCCATGCAGGTACTCAGACAGGTGAGCCTGCTGTAAGGTAGCGAGGTAGGCAAGTAGGTGGAGAGGTAACCAGGGGGGCAGGTGAACGGGTAAGCAGATGCGCAGGACCACGGATATGCATACAGGTGAGCTGCCAAGTAGGAAGGTTAACATGCGTGCAGATGGGCAAACAGGTAAATAGAACAGTGAGGTGGCAACTGGACAGGAAGTTGAACAGGTGTGTCTGGACAATTGAGCAGGAATGCAGACAGACAGGTAAATCTACAGGTGAGTACACAGGTAATCCCATGGGGTGAATAGGTAGAATGGTGAGCAGTCAGGTGCGCAGGGAGTCAGGTGAGCAGGGAGTCTGGGGAGCAGGTCGACAGGTGAGCAGGGAGTCAGGTGAGCAGGGAGTCAGGGGAGCAGGGAGTCAGGTGAGCAGGGAGTCACGGGAGCAGGTAAATAGGTGAGCAGGCAGGTGAGCGGGGCCTCACGTCGTCGCCGTTGTACTCCGCGATGTCCGCATCCGTGAAGAGCCGCACCGGCTCCTCCTGTTGCCCGGGAGCCGCCGTGGTGGCGGCCACAGCGACGAGCGACAGAGCCAGCACTGCGAAGACCCCTCTGCCAGACCCCCATGGGTGCGAAGACCCCCGATGGGCCCCCACGCTCCTCGCCATGTCGCTCGCCCAGGAGGAGACGCCACGCGGAAGCCCCCACGTGCAGGAAGTACGCTCACTCAGGGCGCCGTGCCGAGCACCGCGCGCGTCGATAGTAAAGCCAACCGCGTTCGTCTTACCTGTGTCACGTAGGGCGTGGTTTCAATCATCGTTCACCTTTAAGGTGGGGTATGGATTACAACCCATGAACGTGAGAGATGGCGACGGCGTGGGGAGGCCTTCATCCAGCAGTGGAGTGAGCATGGCTGCTGCTGGGTGTAGAGAAGGTCAGGGTCGCTGTCGGCAAGGGGTCACGCGCGGTGACACCGGGTCACGTGGCGCCCGCTGGCGGCTGCCCCACCCCCACGTGACCCGGCTCGTGAGAGTCACGCGGGGGCACTCAAGGGGTAGGGGTGGGGGAGTTGCCGTCTTCGCGAAGTTTACACAACGCAAATATTAATTGCAACACGATTAACAAAAAATATTCCATTGATGTTTAACTAAAAAAAAAAACAACAAAAACAATCAGCAACAACAAAAACATTCCATTGATATTTAACTCTTTAAAAAATATCCACTGAATGATGTACTTTATTAACTTCAAAAAAAACATTCGCAACAAATAAATACAATTTTAAGGGAAAGAAAATAAATGAAACATTTTGATTTAAAGCTTTCGTGACTGCAGGGATTCATATTCTTGGTTCTTTCGGTAAAGTCACGTAGAAGGGAAACAATAAAATAATAAAATAACAAGAAAATGAAACATTTGTCAAAAGTAAACAAAAGCCACGAGTTTCATAGACCACGCCCCTTTCCCCCAACCCCGCCCCTCGTGGACGACCACGTGGTGTGACCGAGTCTCTCGACCCTGCGGCTGCTCTCGTCTTGCTCGGAGGGGAAGGGGCGGGGAAGAGGGGTCACGTGGGCGCAGGGGCGGGGCGACAACCCGAGGGGGTGGGGCGAACTCGGGGCCGGGGACGCTGCCGACCACCGCCGTTGTCCACCCGCGCAATTCGCGGTTAGCGGTTGTTGTTGTTGTTTTATATTGTTGATGTTAATGTTGTAGTTGTTGGTAGTTCCGGTCGAGGCGTCGGTCGCTGCTGCAGGCGGTGGGGAGTTCTCGCGCGTTCACGGCTGAGATGGCGGCGTGAGGAGATGATGCGCGCGGAGTTTCGAGCCAATTCCTACTCCGAGGTGAGGGGAACAATCAGCATCATCATCAACAGCAGCAATGACAACATCATCAGCAGTATCATTAGCAGCAACATCAGTAGCAGCAACAACAGCAGCATCATCATCACTAGAAGCAGCATAATCTTCATCAGCAACAGCAGAATCCTCGTCAGCAGCAGCAGCAACATCCTCATTAGCAGCAACAGTATCGTCACTCTCCAGCATCGCCACCGCCATGGCGTCTCATCTATCAGCTCGAAACTTCTCCACTCAACTCACCTACCCCCTCTCCTCACCCACCCCCTCACCCCTCTCCTCACCCACCCCCTCACCCCTCTCCTCACCCACCCCCTCACCCCTCTCCTCACTCACCCCCTCACCCCTCTCCTCACCCACCCCCTCACCCCTCTCCTCACCCACCCCCTAATCCCCTCTCCTCACCCACCCCCTCACCCCTCTCCTCACCCACCCCCTCACCCCTCTCCTCACCCACCCCCTAATCCCCTCTCCTCACCCACCCCCTAATCCCCTCTCCTCACCCACCCCCTCATCCCCTCTCCTCACCCACCCCCTCACCCCTCTCCTCACCCACCCCCTCTCCTCACCCACCCCCTTACCCCTCTCCTCACCCACCCCCTAATCCCCTCTCCTCACCCACCCCCTAATCCCCTCTCCTCACCCACCCCCTCATCCCCTCTCCTCACCCACCCCCTCTCCTCACCCACCCCCTCACCCCTCTCCTCACCCACCGTCTCTCCTAACCCACCTCCTCACCCTCTCCTCACCCACCCCCTCGCTGTGCGCGCTGCCGTCTCAGTTGGATGAAGATGAGGAGAAGGCGAACGTCGTCAAGGAGAGACGAGGCGAGGAGGCGGTCACCTCCTCGCCCAATGGCAGCGTCGGTGACGGTGAGTTGTTGCCGTCTAGGGCTTCACGGGGTCCCGACGTGTGGGGTCCCAGGGATCAGAGTTCATGCCAATCATGCTACGCCACTCACACCCAGGGGGTTCTGGATTTTCGGGGGTTCAGTAGGGGCCGGGGGGAGTGAGTAGAACGGGTCCCCCGAACGCCGCGCGTTAACGAGGTGGTGGTGCGTGTCTCCCGCAGACGAGGAGGAAGATCCACCTGGTGACGAGGTGGTGGATGTGGGGGGCGAGGGGGACGCTACAGCTGAGGAGGTGTTGGGGGGCATGCGAAGGTTTCGCATGCGCGTGAGTAAGGTGAACAAAGTAATTTATAATATCATAATGCCCTCTATCTTGGACAACCTCACTGGGTCTCAAAACCAGGCCTTAATTTCAGCCGGGTTTGTGTAAAATATTCCTGCACCCGGCACACCACATCCAGTATACATATTGTATTGGCTTCGGGTGCCACCTCCCTGTCTACCAGCGGCCCAGACAACATTGAGACGTGAAGGCTGTGCTTCTGGAGGGTCTTGCTACATTGGGGTGTTTGGCCGATTCCATCAATGAGCATTCATAGTCCCGTGTGGCAGGACACTGGAGAGCCCGGTCACATTGGACACAACTGGATCACACTGTTCGTCGGCATGGCTGAGTGGTGCTGCGTATGGCTCACGCCACACAGGGACAGCTGCCATCAGTGCGTCTGCTAGGCTAGCAAAACTGCAATCTGAGACAGTCGGTTAGGTTTATGGGCACAATATGAATGCCGGTGGTTGCTGCTGCCTTTGCTGCAGCTGTGCCTCAAGAACCTGGTGTCGGTGCTGCTCGTGGTGTTCTACCTGGTGCTGTCGGCAGTCGCCTCCTTCGTGGCATACCAGTCCATCTCCGACTTCCAGCACCAGGCACAGCACCCGGCCATGTCCGTCTCGTACAAGGCGGTGGAGCGCTACGACGCGCCCGGTACGCTGCCCTCCCCCCTCCACCAGCGCTACTCTGGCCAGGGTGGCTATAACGGGGTTCGGGTATTTTTTGGGGTCATCCTGAGTCAGACTTGGGGTTGAGGCTGAGTTTGGGGATCACCCTGATGTGACGTCAGCTGTAGTCGTGCTGCTGCTGCTCCCCATGCGCCCACCACAGGCATCGCGCTCTACCTGGGCAGCGCCGAACTGCTGTCGTGCCGCCATTACTTCCACAGCGGCGTGTCGGTCATGGAGAGGCCCGGCCAGCCCGGGGACGTGCGGTGCAACATCTTCACCGTGTCCTACCCGGACCCCTACCACAACACCTCGCAGGTGCTCTCCGCACGGCACCCACAAGCACCACGCAGTGCGGTGGCGGCGTGACAGATGACGGGGCAGCGCACGCTCCCGTGACGCTGATCACGTAGTCCTTCACCTCCTGCAGTGTTTTATTATCATTACTATGTTTGTTTACCCAGGAGAGCCCGCGTCTCGTTATTCTTTTTTCAGGAGGGTCTTTCCAAGTTCTTGTCGGGGGTGACGTTGGCTATATATATTCCAACGTGGGTGGTTTTGCAAATTTGTCAAATCCTGCCCGTGACGTCGGCATGCAACGACCTCCTCTTACGAATGGTATCACGGGATCTTGAACGTCCACTGTGAAACAGATGGTGCGTAGTCAAACTTTGAACCGCTGCAACGAGCGGCGATTGCGGTTCCGCTGGGCTGCAGTGTTGGTTTGAATGTTGACTTAAAGGTCGCGTGCCAAGCAGCAGCACTATATTGCTCCGTGTAATTTACTGCGCGGAGCTGTCTCGTTTACTGGGCTTTAGGGCTTAGTTGCTCACGGAATGTTTTGCACATTGCCGTTAAGAACGGAGAAGGTGGCACGTGGCCAGTAGCCGCAGTCACAGCGAGAGAGGTGTGTGTTCTGCACGTGTCTATGAAGTATTGTGTACTGTGAGGTGGCTCAAAGGTAAGAGCACAGAGCCAGCACGCGGAGAGCTTGGTGTTTGAATCTTGATGGCTGCCTGTGAATAACCGGGGTTTGGAGTGTTGCGAGGTGATGGTCTCAATTGGTTAACAATGACTGCACAAAAAATTAATAGCTTTCAAATGCGTCCTGCACATGTTACAAAATTTCAGTTATATTGTAAAACTGTCAGTTTGATTGTCGTGCGATGAACATGACTCTCATACAGTAGAGCAGGTGGAAAAAATAACATCCCCTACTGTTGCTTGAAGGGACCTCAGAAGTAGCTCTACAATATTCTCTTCTCCAAGCCATTTTCTCACGTGAAGGGATGCAGCGGTCGTGCGCGAGATCTGAAGGGATCCTTTGTCTCGTGAAAGCGGCAGGGCATTCAGGATAGAATTGGAGTTAGAGGTTTTTAAAAAGTTAAAGTGTAGTTTACCGCAATGTGCCGCCATGCCGTGGAGTGCCGTGCAGCGCGGTGATGGGAAGTGCGTGGCTGCGCGTGTGCAGAAGAGTGCGCTGGTGGTGCGGGGGCCTGAGCGAGTGCAGGAGAAGGAGCAAATCTTCCTCCACTTCCGTCTCAACGGCAGCACGCAGCAGTTCAGCGCCATCGACTACCTACTCTTCTCCTCCTACGTCAGCCTTGAGCGCAGGTGCTCGCCGCCGCCGCCACCACAAGTAGTCGACTTGAATGTTTTAGCGGCTTCATCCGCTAGCCGACTAATCCCGCACCACCGTCCTTCCGAGCGGCGTTCACTTCCTTTGCAGCGCAAGTCCCATGAGAATCCCAAAATGGAGCGACTTCCCAAATTCCATGAGATGTAGCCCTTTTATTCACCCCCTCCTCGACAGAAACACAGTGAGGAAGAGGCCGGGTCATTCGGAGGTCAAAGTGCTGAAGTCCGGGTTCTCGTTCAGCTTTTGGCCGCCTGTTAGCAAACGGGTTTTTCAGGTGTAGCGAGTTGATGGTCTCAGCCCGGTCACCCAATTAGTGCACAAAAATATAAAACTGTGACAAAATTTGGTTCTACGCTTAATTTGCCAAAATTCCAGCGCTAAGAATTAAAAATATTGGGTTTGACAATCATTTTCAGGTTGTGTGGGAAAGTGCTGGTAGATAAGGTCACTCAAAGGTAGCTCTGTGATACTTGCCTCTGCGGGCGATTCTGTCACATGAAGGGTTGTACTGCTCTGTAAGAGATCTGAGTGGATTCTCCATCTCATGGCATGATAACTGTCACATCATGCCCTTGTGCTTTAAAGATAAAACCCGAGGACAAAGACACAATTTTTTTTTATTACATTTCCACTCAACGCTTGGTCATACCACGTGGGTGTGGGAGCACACGGAGGTCAAGGTGGCAGCGGTTTTAACTGAACCTCGGCTCGTGCCGGGGGCCGTTAAACTATAGGGCACTAATGCGAGGCACACATAGAACGCTTGGTCAGAAGCCGCGTTCAACCAGCGGAAGGCGGGAGGAAGTGAGAAATGCTGATAAGTATCTGTGAGCGGTGCGTGCTGGAGTCACGCACTCGAGAGACGCTATCCCAGTGCCAACCTCATTGTAATAAATGTTGTACATTCCACAAGTCAATAAACAACTGGCCAAACATCATAAAGCTGGACCCTCCTGAAAACGGTCTTGGCACTCACTGAAGCTATGCTTTAAAAGTAGGCACGTCATGATTATCATCGTGAGATAACGCTCGTTTATTAATGAGACCGCGTTGTTTCTGGCTGTTACAAGCGTGGGCGTTGCTCATCTCCTGTTTACAGCCCAGCTGAGCTAGAGCTGGAAATTCCGCATTGCTATGGGGGGTGGGGCGAGCGAAACGCGTACAACAACAACTTCTGTTCGTTTTTATCTCTCCCGGAAGGGTGATTCGCTGAGTTAACCACTAACCGGGGATCTGAACTTGCAGCCTTCCAATTGCGAGCAAAGCGCTTGAACAGAAGTTGAAGTCAACTATAGCGATTGCCCATGGGAGAGGCTGGTGTCATAGGAGCTTGCAGTCCACGGTAAAGCAGAGTGGCAATACTGCAAGTAGGTTACCGCATTCTTTTAGGTTCAATGTTTCAACGGGCCCTGATTACACTTCATACTTCATATCCCAACTTTATTCTGGTATGTCTGCGTGTGACTGACCAAGTCACGCATGCTGCTAACGTTAATCACGACTGTTATTACATTTCCACGCCTCCATTGCTCGCCTTTGTGGTCGACAGAGACCGGCGTGGTCAATGGTGACGTAGTCGAAACCAGAATAAGTGTGCAATACGATTGACCTAATTCTCTGTTCTCGATATTTGCCACCACCTCGTGTGTGGAGGCTTGAACTAGCAATTGCCTGCCATAATGGACGTTATCATAACTCGCGGAAACAGTGCTCGTGAGAAAAGTATGTGCATTGACGGCTGAAGTTGCACATTTGACCCAGCTTGCTCGGTCTGTGCGAGTTTATCTCTGCATCTGAATTTCCGCACCGGATTTTGCTCGGCAAACGACTCGGAGGCGGCGACTCGGGCAACACCTGCGTCTCGCCAACGCTCACCCCCCCCCCCCTTGTCACCCTCCACCCTCCCCGTGCTCTCCCAGCACCAACCGCCCGAGCTTCATGATGCAGATGGAGCGAACGCAGTCCATGTGGACGTTCTCCGGAGGCTTCCGCACGTGGGTCAAGATGTCGCTCGTGCGCACCAAGACGGACCGGCCCTCTGAGGAGTTCACCCTCGAGGTGCCACCACCTTTTTAAAACGACACAGTGAGCGATGTTACAGGGACTAGGGGTTAAACGATACGGTCGAGCGATGTTACAGGGACAAGGTTAAATGTTACGGTAAGGAGTGTCATGGTACTCGAGTGATTTCACTGCACTGCCGTATATTGATGTGTAACAGCCAAGTCTCCCGCGCATCTCCCTAATATACCGAGGCCACGCCCCCCTTCTCGATCATTCTCGCTGACTCTGGACGCTCACTCCATGGGCAGACTCTACCGTCCTCTTCTGTCACCTGACCACGCTCCCTTCTCAAATATTCCCGGAGCCACCAGTCTCTTCGCAATCACAACTGATACCCCTGTCATTACCTCCCGTGGCCACTAGTGCATTCGCACCGCATACAGGCTGTCATTACATATGTATAGGAGTGATGTCATGAACACTATAATTATGCTCCCGTGTGTAACTTTTATATTTTATATTTGACTCGTGATGCTTCAGTGTTGTATTGGGCAACCCAGGACACACAGCTGTGGTATGTACAAGATAAGAGCCGTCTGCTGTAATAAGGCTGGTTCTATACTCTTCCCCGCCATAGGAATATGGAATTGCGACTGCTGTCTTAGGGCTGTGAACGGGAGACGAGCACCACCTCGATGCTCAGAGCCATAAGGTCATGCATGCTACATTGAGACAATGTTGGGGAAGTCGTTGCGGGCCTATAGTCGCCGCTCCAATTTTCCATGTAACGAACGTAGGATTCCCAACCCGGGACAAATCTGATGGTAGCGCCCTCTAGTGGGCACTGGGGATGACAACTTCCAAAGAGATCAGAGGTAACGTGACCACCCGAGGTTGTTGGGCACTGTAAACTATCAACAACCAGGAGTTCACCGTTTTCAGAAAAAAATACTCGCTTTTCATTGGCCAGGCAGGATACGCCATCATTCTACACCAGGCATCGGGAAAACAGAATCCTACCCGAGGGCCGTATAGAATTTTCCGAATGGCTTATGTGGGCAGCCACACATTCACTCGCACCTCGACCACGTTTGTTGGCACAAAAAGCCCTTGCGGTGAGACGAAGCAACCGAGCGTGGAACTTCATCGCCGTCGTCTCTCACGCGGCATGTCTTTCGTGTGCGCGGCGCAGTCCAGCGTCGTCAAGTATAACGACGAGCGCCCGGAGAGCGAGCGGTCCGACGAGCTCTTCTTCATCGTCTTTGAGTGGAAGGACGCACTCATCCAGGAAGTGCAGGGGGTGAGTGACCCCAACGACATTATTTGCAACATTCATCCCAACTGTTGGATGTCACGAATATTTTTTTATTTGCTGCAAACTTATTTTTAAGTATTTGCAGTCAAACGTTAATTGCAGGAAAAAATATTTTCATTAACATTAATAAGTTCGATTTCGCATGTACCGAGGTTGTTTTGCTCTGGTTGCTATTTGCTTAATGCGTTTATATTTATTTATATATATTTATATATGTATATATTTACATATTTTTTTCATGCCTCAGCAGCTCTCCTATATTTTTTCACCTGATGACGATTGCTTGTGTTGCGATCGAAACGTTATGATATTTTTATTTTATTATTTTGCTCTCTACGTGGTTTTACCGAAAGACCCAAAGAATATTAATTCTTGCAGTCACAAAAGCTTTAAGTCAAGATAAAAACATGTAAATTATGTTGTTAGGTTTGGGTTAAGGAAGCAGAAAAAGTATAAAGAGAGAATGTAAACAAGATGGAAAATAACGATTCATTACTCGGAACACAGAATCGTGAAGATTCATTGCATCCCTGCAGGGGAAAACCGGTTCATTGCCTGGCCTCGCTGTGGTTGTGTTCATGTGTAGTAGAGTACATTTTTTGTTGTTTTATTTTTTACCTATGTGACTTTAACGAATAGAACCAAAGAGTATGGATCCTTGCAGTCACGAAAGCTTCAAATCTAGAAGAGTTAATTCTTTTAATGAGTGGCTGTGCTCCTACACTGCAGAGTTACTGAGTAGTTACTTCAGGGCATAGGTGTTGTCGTGGTGGTATTGTGCAATTAACGTGCTGTGTCACTGCGTGGTGTAGTGATGGTTTTATATTACTGTGTAGCAATGGTATCTAGTCGTGTTTGTACTGTCTCAATGTAGTCGTGTCCGGTGGTATTTAGCAGCGATTCTACTTTGTCGGTATAGCCACGTCACTGTGCGGCGAGGACACGGAGTTGCCGTGTGGTGGTGGCAGCGGCAGTATCATAGCGCCGGGCAGTATCAGTGAGCCATCTCCGTTTGCACGCGGTGTTAACGCAGATCGTGACAGCAAACCCGTGGAGCGTGGCGGCCGTGCTGTGCGGGGTGCTACTGCTCATCTTCAAGGTTGCCGACTTTGCGACGAGCAGCGTGCGCTGGATGATCCGCGTCCGCAAGCGAAACCGCCGGCACCGCGTGCAGAAAATGAACAACATGGCCGCGTGACTCATTCGCTGGGGAGAGACCAAAGTCGTCGCGCAGTTTTCTTTCCTTTGTTTAGAGAATTATGACCGCAGTTAGGTGGAGGAGATACTTGGACACGGCGCCAGTCCAGTGGTGGTAATGAAACTGAGCTCTTCTATGTAAATATCGCACTCGTTTTGGGACCACTTGGTGATAGCCGCTCGTCGTCATCTCTGGATTGGAAGAGCCGTGTCTGTGGTTGCTCCTCCATCGATTCGGAGGACTCGCGGGGGATGATCGGAGCGAATGCTTCTTTTTCCACCATGCAACCAAGCGACGCCAGTGCCAAGCCAGCCCAGTGTGCGGCTCAGGAGGTGCAAGTGTTGTTTTTCCATTGCAGAAGGCGAGCCGTGCCACCGACATAATACACAATGAACGCGGGATGAAACGTATTAACCTTTGTCCCGAGCCAGATCCAGATTTCTTGTCACCAGTTGTCCAGTTAGATACTGGGTCGGCTTCATAGCCAGTGGAAAGCTACCTGTACCACAATGGCCCTGTGCTGGCATGGCTCTGATGTGCAAGTGGGAAAAGGAGTATAAGATACCATAACGTTGATCTTTAACAAACATATCCTATAAAATTTAACCACTAGGTCCCAGTGGCCAAATTGGGCTTCATAATTAAAATCTAGATTTGGCAAAGTGTTTGATTGTTTGCCCAAGTTCTGCAGCTGCATGGCAGCGCCACTACCAGGGGAGACGGGTAAACAGGCTGCGGGGGGGGGGGGGTTCGCAAACGACAGTGGATGGGGACAGGAACAGGTGACAACTTGTGGAAGATGGGATGTCCTTCAAGCTCTGGCCAGTTAAGTTATTCCCTTAGGGGCCATCCATTTAGTACGTACGCATGGAGGAGGGAGGGGTGTTTAACCCAAATGCGTACACTTGCATATGGGGGGGGTCTACTGACAATGTACGGACGCATAGGAAACGGGGGTGGGGGGGGGGTGAAGCCTCGATAATAATCTGTCCCCACTGGCCTTCAAATGAGTTAGAAACACGTTAATATTATTCATCGTTTATCGTTTCTGCGTGGATTAATATCGTCCGTTCTATAGGATTCGAGGGGGAGGGGGTGCGTCAAGTGTACGTACGAAGGTGGTGGGGGGGGGGGTAAAAAGTACGCGTGCGCACAGGGAAGGGGGGAGGGGTCAAGTTGACAGATTATTGCGTACGTGCTAAATGGATGGCCCCTTAGCGCCTATTTAAATCCGTGTCTATTTGGGGAGATTGTCACTGGAGTTGTTTTATGGAATTGGCCAATGAACCTCAGAACAGAGATGACCAGTATCTAAGTATAAATTAAGTAATTTCAATACATTTGTAATTGTCATCTAAATTATGCACTTAAAACTAATTGGTAATTTTTGTATCTCAGCGAAATGACCCATGGTTCTGACTTGCATTGAAATTACATCACCCCAGTAATTTGTAACTAGTGCATTTTTACCCATCTTTGCCTGCCAGGAAAGTGTGTGCGTGCGGTTTTCACAAGAGGACACGGTGCAAGCACTGCCAATCCCCTGCATTTCACAGAGACGCCAACACAAAGTGTGATGCATTGTTTTTACATCAAACGTACAAACGACGATTGTGATTTTAACACTTATTCCGACAAACTGATTGCATGATCGCTCTGCCTGTTGTAAGGCCTGCTCGTGGCTTGCCGTGTAGTAAACGGTGGCTGTTGCACACCGCTTCCGCTGCGCAGTGAGTCAACGCAGAGGACACATACAGGAATAGGTTTTACCCTTTCTGGCAATAAAACAGGTGTTAAGATTTAGATTTAAAGCTTTCGTGACTGCAGGGATTCATATTCTTGGTTCTTTCGGTAAAGTCACGTATAAAATGAAATAATAAAAATGTAATTCTCACGACGTTTCCATTGTAACACAAGCAATCATCAGGTGTGAAAACCACAGCAAGAAAATTTGAAAAGTGGCAATTTCGAATTTTCTTGCTGTGGTTTTCACACCTGATGATGATTGCTTGTGTTGCAATCGAAACGTCGTGAGAATTGAAATGTTGAATTTTTATTATTTTATTATTTCCCTTCTACGTGACTTTACCGAAAGAACCAAGGACAGGTGTTAAGATGTTGAAACACCAAATAGAAACCTTTTGCAAGGAATCATGTCTACATTAACCACAGGTACTTGTGGTGAACATGCAAACAAACATGCTCCGATAATACTGTATATGCATTGTCTTAGGAACTGATTGGCCTACACCAGACACAGCCTTCCTTAGGGCCTCGTTTCATCAGTGGCAGACCAGAGAACGCCGAAAGGCGAACAGCACAAAGCCAACGCCACTATCACAGCATTTATAGCTCGGGGCGAGCAGCTACAAAATTGGACCTTTTAGCCAATATCAAAGTATGAACAAATAAAACAAATGATTATTTTTTCATAGTTTGATATTGGCAAGGTCTCATTGTGACATACAGGACCGTGTGCTGGAAACAGTTTAATTTCAGCAGTGTCCTCCTTGCATTTTGGGAACACTCGATTTTAAGAGACAATATTTGACAGTCGATTTAATAACGAAATTGCTGGTTAGGTATTATGCTTGTTCACCCAGGAAAGCCTCGTGGACCCCTAAGACTGAGGATCCTGCCAATTTTTTTTTGCAGCAGAGGGCATTGTTGCAATGTTCCCAATTAAGTGATTTTTTTTACATTTGGACTTTGACACCAGCACACGTGACATGCTCTTTTCGATTAACTTCGCGGGATCTTTAAAGTCAACTGTGACACAGGCAGCACATTAATGGTTGATACATGTGCAGTATTAAACAGGGCGTCCGTGGACTCGAACAGCGAACCTCCAACAATATATATTCTTAGCTCTTTCGGTAAATTAACGTTGAAGGGAAACAATAAAATAATAAATATATTTTATTGTTTTATATATATTTATTGTTTCCCTTCAACGTGACTTTACCGAAAGAGCTAAGAATATGAATTACTGCAGTCACGAAAGCTTTAAATCAAAAGGAGCACACACACCACCACTTGACTGCCTGTAATGCAACCAGCAATGGCTCGGTCAGTCGTGTAGGGAGACCAGTCGTTAATCTGTGACCACGTGAAATAACCAGGCTATTAATGGATATGAGAGAGAAAGCGAAGTCTTCTCAAATTGCTTTATTGTATTCACAACATTCGGCCTTGAAAGGTCAAAGACTGAAAACACGGGTGATCGCGATGCCATTATTCGTGCACCAGTAAAAGACGGCATCCGATCATCGTCTTTGGAATGAAAGTTTCCTCCGCTGATACTCTAGAGCATAAAAATACCTTTTTTAAAATAATGTATTTGTTTTATTTTACGAAAGGCATTCATGTAAGTAGGTAACAAACGTCACTCTCGCACCACACGGCATTCTTGAGCCACCCTGACTGCGCCCAGTGAACCGCTCTCGTAATCTACGCACCGCCACCACCGTCGGCTCGCGACATCAAAGCCCTGTCGTCATCACCACACGACACCTGATCCAAAATCCCGCTCGCAAACTCGTGGACCTGCCGCCCCTGTTCATCTTCACAAGGGCAAACACTTAAATCGGTTTGATCCATGATCCTTTAGCATTAAAAAGCAAACAAAACCGTGGAAAAACAGCTCTGTAATAAACAGTTGGACTGACCTGTGCTGACCAAGGGCATCGCATTTCCCGGTGTCTGTGTTGTGCTGCTGCAGTACAAGATAATCTTGCTGTGTGTACTAGTGCTCCATCAACCGGCACTAGTTGTGGGGCTCACAGGGCACAAACGATGTGACCCCGGGATCGATAGGGATGGAGTTAACACATGGCTTCACAAACATATGCAGAGGTTAAAGATAAGATTTTGACTCATGGAAAATTTGGGCTTAGGCAGGAACGATCATAGGTTGGATATGCACCTACGCACGATCAAGACTAAATGATGGAGTGGGAGCCAATGTAGGGAAAGTGTCGGAGAGGACCTCCACCATGGAGACAGAATGATAAAATCAGCGCTTGTGCAGGTGCTAAGTGGATTCATGCATTACAGGACCATGGGACGGTGACAGCTTTGGAAGGCCTTTATCCAGCAGTGGATTGACCATGGCTGGTGATGGAGGTTGGCATTTGGGATAGAGCTACTGATTGGTTGAAGTGCTGCTTTTCAACAGCAGCGGCGCTAATTACGGCACCACCCAAGACACAGCGCGCGTGTGTAGGCGTGATGTTCGGCAAAACACAGCCGCAGGCCTTTCCCGTGGTAGGAGACACCCACGGGTGTGTCCTCACCTGGTGAGTCAGTCAACGACAGCTCACTGGATTGGAACTTGCACAAAACACCTAGGCGGCGCCATGGGGGTTCAATTTTTTCTCTACTGCTCACCTAATACTAGCCAGGTCGTTGATACACTGGCGCAGACTGCAAGTGACTAGTAGCCACAGCCATACTGAGAGCGTATACTGGATATGGTGTGCCGGGTACGGGATATTTTTTCGGACCACCAACCTGGACAGACCGAGCTGTATTGAAGCCCTGGTCCTATTGGGATCAACCATACACACCAAACAGGGTGCGCGTTGCTTTAAAAAGACCTTCGTGTCTTTTTGCACAGGTCCCTGCATGCACGGCCACTCAACCGCGATCCACCTTTGTTGATCTGCTCGAGATGATGGCACTCCACCTCCCACACACACCCCTACACTACCTGAACCGCCCAGCGCCAACAGCCGCTGAGGCATTGTTTAACTTTACAGATGCAGTCCAAAAAACACGTGGCTCTTGTGGATACGGGAACCCACACTTGCGCAAGTATTTAGGCCATTTGACACGAGTTTAAAAAAATGTTAAAATTTGGGATGACGTTCCGAATGAACCCGCATTGAGGATTTGAATTCGCGAACCTTCCGATTGCAAGCCGCTCGCTCCACCACTGGGCTGCCCCTGGCCTCGTACTCGGGTGTTACCACGATGTCACGGCACTGGCGTATTAACCCAACACACCGTTGCGCTTGTGTCGGACAGCTAGAGAGACCCAGCCTGCTTGTGTTCATACACCCAGGCTAGGTTGCATCTACATTTATACGAGAAGCAAAAGATCCAGTTTCAGGTTCGACCAAATTTCCACTCTGGGCCATCTCATGACAAGTAGCTAAACGACAGTAATCCTTGTACTTGGCAACCGACGCGTCCACTGCACCGCATATAAACTGCCTGGAAAACCTGGACCGGACTACAGTCTAATACTCCGCACCGTCAAGCAAATCACAGGAGCTACTGAGGGAAAGAGCAAACAAGTCATCAAGGTTCACGATTCCCGGAACAAAGCGAGGCGGGGCGGCAGCCTTCTCCGCACCTATGCCTCTCTTCGCGTCAAACCCAAGAACAGTTCACAAATTGACCGCCAGGTTTAGCGCGAGGACGCGGAACGAAGATTCCCACCGGTGTACAACGAGGTGCTCCAAACGTGCCAGCGGACGGCGCACGTGGTGGTTGGGCAAAGGGAAAACCCAAAACCGCAAGTGATGTAGCTGGCGCAGGCGGGCAGGAGGGAGGGGAGGGTAGCGCAGCATGCGTGGTGGAGGTGTGCTCATACGGCGGCTCGTGCCATCAGCAGGCCGGCAATCACAACCAGATTGGCCTGCTAGCTCTTATAAACGTCATTACACGTCTTTTTTTTTACGGCTTGATTTTTTTTTTACTTTTACAGAATAACGGAAATACTATGCAACATCTTTACAAACTTTTTCTGAATAAGAGTAATGGTGTAAAGGTCTCAATCCCCCCCCCCCCACCCCCCTCTCCCCGGCCATCTGCACCTCTGACGTGAGTTTGTATTGAGCACACCTCCGTCCGTTCGCTTTGTCAAAAGCAACAAAAAATATAACGACCTTTACACGGAGTGCCCTTATAACGCGCGCGCACACACACACCTTCCCAAGAACAGAACCCAACTTTACAAACCGGTACTAATCCATGTGGAAACAAGTGAAAGTGCCGGGGCGCACCCCAACAAATGAAGTCGCAGGAAGAAAAACTTTGGGAAGAAACGCAACCCGGCCGCTCGCTGCGTTCTTCTACGGAACTTCGAATACTCACGTAGAACACCTTTGCATTAAGTTTCTCTTTTACGTTTTAAAAACCAAATTTGAGACGCTAACGTCTGCGTAACTGTTTACGAAAAAACCCTGTGGAAGACAAAGGCATATGTACAAGGTGTCTGACGAGTCGATGCTGCGTCACGTGACGCGCCCGATTCCTGGATGCACTTCAGGAACGAGCTCTTGTCCAGATATGTTTGCGGTATTTTTTTTTTTTTTGCTGAAGTACGTAACGTCCGAATGAATAAACCTGAAATGTTTAATCGCAGTGGGGCGGAGGGTATTATTTTTTTCGGGCAGAGGGAGTCGAGGCGTTCGTGTACAGAGCACTCGCTCTGGGGAGTGAAACCACCACACATGCACCCTCTCGGCATTCTTGTCGGCCACCGCTGCACACACGCACGCATGCGTACACGCGTACAAACACATCGCGCGTACAAACACAGTCGCTCGCATTCTACGTGCGCATGCTGCACCCGACACAAGACGCGCGCTCGCCTATCGTCTCGCTCTCTGGACATTTTGCACCACCTGTTTATTTATTTTAAAGCTCACGCGCGGTGAGTTTAAGGCCAAAGGACGTTCATATACTTAGAAACGCAACGCACAAACACCCACCATCTCAAGCGTTCCTTTCACCACTTTTGATGTTTGCAAATTCGTGTTATGCCCCCTCAAAGAAATAGAAACTAAAATTATAAAGTAAAAAAAAAATAGGAGAGGATGTTGGAGGATGAAAACCTGACGTGGGGACACCCGCGGTCTGCGGGGGGGGGACGAGGAGGAGCTAGCTGGTGCCTGCCGCGCGAGCGCTGTTGTTGTTGGGCGACTGCTGCAGCTGCAGCTCCTCCAGCCTCTGCCAGAGATCTTCACGCTCCTTCTCCCGCTTCCTCTCCCTAGCATGCCGCCGCACACACCACACCGCACACATCTCAGGTGGGGGGGTCTCGCGTATCAGTTGGTTGCGAGATGTCCGAGGAGGAAAGGATCATGCACGACTGCTGCCACCCAGTGGCAAGAATTGACCCTTGAATGCACACGATTAAGATTTTTCCTAGGCCAGTAACACATTTTCCGAATCAATTAACATTCTCTGGTGTTTGTTTTCGTGCCATTTGATCCGTCTCCTTTGTTCTCTTTGTAATAAACATCTCGTTTGGCCAGCCTCATGTACGATGTCCTGTGTCTACCGTCTTGTGTCTATAATGTCCTGTGTGTATCATCTCGTGTGTTAAGTCTCATGAGTTCCGACCACTTTCCAAAAGATACCCAACTGCATCAATTATTCACTGGTCAAACACAATCGTATTTACATGCGAACGGCGACGCTGCACTGAAGACGTCCAGTGGACGGCGACAGTGACCGTCTCGTAAGGGAACTCTCACCGTTGCCGCTCCGCCTTGTAGGAGGCGGTGAGCTCATCAAACAGCTTGCTGTTCATCTCCATGAAGGTCTTGAGGATGTTGTACACCAGGGCAACGATGGTTCTGAATACCGCCACGCACAAAGACAAATCCCCCCCCCCCCGTATAGCCTTAACAAACTGTTGGGGCAAGTGCTGTTAGCGAGCACCTATGAAGGCCGATAGAGCACACGAGGGAGTGGGTGGCCAGCATCACACGACAGTGGTCATGTTTACAGACCAAACTAGGTACTCATTTGAGACCGAGTCGACCTAGAGGAGGCCCAGGACCGGTTCAGATATTCGTCATTGCTGTTGACGGAGCAGGAATCGAACCCAGGTCGCTGGGCTCATAGCGCAGCGCGCTAACCACTACACGACCGCTTCCCACATACACACGGAGACACATGCGCAAACACATTCAGAAACCAACACACAGACACGTGCGTGCACACACAAAATAACACATTAGGTCACACACAGGAAAAGAGACATTCATGCCCTTTGGAAAATGTTCTTGCTGTGGTTGTTCCACCTGATGAAGATTGCTTGTGTTACGATCGAAACGTGATTTGTTTAATTTCTACCTACGTGACTTTACCGAAAGAACCAAAGAGTATGGATTCCTGCAGTCACGAAAGCTTCAAATCAAGATTAAAAGAGACATTCCCTGGCACCTGCCTCAGCCGTGCTCGTGTATTACACACTCCACCAATAACCCATTGAAGGTTGAATTGACCAAGAGAAGGCCTAGATGGTTTAGTAGTAACTCGTCACAGATAGAAACCATGCCCAGGAATTTAAACCAAGGTGGCCGGGTTTGCACCACCACGCTACTGCTCCACCCAGCCACACATGCAAAGAGACACACACGTGCACACTGAGTGCAACCTCAATGCTCCTTTGCCCGTGAGGTTTACGTGTAAACAATGATCTGGGTAAATCTTGACTTAAAGCTTTCGTGACTGCAGGAATTCATATTCTTTGGGTCTTTCGATAAAGTCACGTAGATAGGTTCAAAAAATCATGGTAGTTTTCTGTTTATTTTATTATTTTTTAAACCTATCTACGTGACTTTACCGAAAGACCCAAATAAAATGAGCTGGGAGTCTACAGCAAGTAAAAACTGATATTCAAATTAAGATCAGCGTCGGCGAGTCAACAGTTTACGAGACAATATAGATGGGGTTACATTTTGCATTAAAACGACCACTTGAGTGCCGTAGACACCTGCGGTGGAAGTGCAATTCAGCGGCGGTGGCATTTGGCGACTGTGTCATGGACCAGACCATTCATCGGCAGAGAATTGAAAAAGAAAAGACACCAAGGATTGAATAATGTAGACAGCCATGCGCTACACTACCGCTGAACAAAAAAAACGACAGATGAAGGCAACAGAAGCAGAGGACGTCCGAGCTGAAACGGACGGCTTTACGGGGTCATTCTAGAGGCGATGGAAAGGATGCAAGACCAGCAACTCGTTGTTGATAGAAAAACAATGGAATAGGACTGCTAGCGGCTAATATTGGGACGTCTAGTCGACTAATCAAAGATAACATATATCAACTACTTAATTTCTGGCCGATTGTTCGGACCCCGTTAAAAATGGCCGCGCTGCCTCTCGAAAGCGAGAGACCCCATACAAAACACGCCCAGCGCAAAACGGCTGATGATACATCACCATGCCCCACCCATCACCTCCAGTCAAGCGGTACACGCAGAAACAGAGGTGAGAATCTTCTCCCCAATAATTTTCGTGCGATCTGGTTAATCGAGCAGTCGAACTGATAATTTGAAGAGTCATCGATTACTTAAATATTACGATATCCCAGACATATGTCACACATGGAGCCAGTGGCCTCCATAAAGCTGGAATGGAAATGAAGAAAACAAGACGCGGATTTTGTCCATGGTCGGAACTACGCTCTTTAGGCATGGTGGTGGCGGTAGCGGCAGCAGTTGGTGGTGGTGGCGGTAGTGCTCACTGGTTCCAATGCTCCTTGGAGACTCGGTAGAGGCTGCCGAAGACGATGGGCAGGATGGTGGAGATGTTCTCCTCCATGAGTCCCAGGATGTATTCGTTGTTCCAGTAGTACATGGCCCGCTCCGCCACCTGCGCGTGCCACACAACATCGCGCCGAGCGCGAGCCAAGCTTTTCACTCCCGCCCTCGTCCTCTACGGTCGGTAGATCTCGGCACCGCTAACGAGCGCCGGGCGAGCGATCGCGCGACGTCAATACCGGTGTCCAGGACGCATGTAGGGGACGGGCGTGAAGTATGACGATGATGCATCGTTGGCCGTGTTACTAAAATATATTAAACCCGATGGGTCGGGGGTGGTCAACCCAGTGGGCAGGCTAGGCGAAGCCTCACCTGTGACATGCCAAATGCCTGTCTGGAACCGCCTAACTCGATCGATAGATGTCTATGTCTATATATGTATGTGTGTATACATCGGGTGTGTATGTATATAGGGCGTGTGTGTAGCATGTGGAGCCGCTCAGCTGTTCGGCGTTTATGACGCTGGTAACCTACAGCAGTCACGGGGTCGGCTGTGTGGGAGGTCGAGGTTGTTTTAGCATCAAGGTCAGACTAAGCGACGTCGTTGAAAACGACCAAGGTTGTCCACATCCACCGCTGTGGCCCAACACCAAAACCTGCGACGTAACAACGACAACCCGGGATGGAGTGCGTGCGTTGCTTCACCTGGAAGTGGGGGCTTGACACGCACTTGGCGATCTGGCGGAAGAGTGGCTCCTGGATCTTGACAAATTGGTTCGATTCGATTACGTCCAGGATCTCCTCCAGCTCACCCAGAAACATCACCTGTGCGCCACCGGGGGACCATGCCGTCAGTACCCACGCGTGCACATGCAGCCCCCTTTTATCAATCCACGCCTCGCCATATCACGTGCGGGTTGTGGGGGTTTTTTGACCATACTTTAAGCCGCTGGTTCGTGCTGAAGGCAGGAAGAAGACATGGGAACATAGAAGCAAAGGACAACAATGGATTTTGATGCAGTGCCCTCTGCTGCCCCCATGTAGCCTCACAGTCGAGGTGTTCTCTCTCTCCGGGAGGAGTAAGATTTCAATCGTGTTGAAAATGTCATTATTGGGCAGTGTGCTGGCTTTATTTGCTTTAACAAATTCGTGGTTCCAACAGATTAAGACTTCAAGGCTGCTTTGGCAGACTTGGTGTACTACTAAAACTAAACTATTGAAACTTTTTTATTTTACCAGGTAAGGCCCACTGAGCTATATAGCTCTTTTTCAGAAGTGACCTAGCGTAACGTGTAGAAATGATAAGCAGCCAAATACTCTAAACGCATATTATGTTGATTCTAAATGTAGAGGGAAAAACCGGAAGACCCGGGAGAAAAATCCACGCGGCCACGGGTTGAACATGCAAACTCCAAATATACAGGCGTCAGGGTCGGGATCGGACCGACGATCTTCTGTATACCAGGCGAGGGGTATTTAACATCTCGTCACCATGGCACACAGCAGACGGGTTGTCACGTGGGCATCATCGCAACAACGATGCGCAGAGGACAAGGCATCTCGCTCTCTCGGAGCAGGAAGAGAAACGACAGCAGCAAGGAAGGGGCAGCACGGGAAGCAAAACGCATTTTCGTTTCCCTCTTTTGTTCCAGGTCTCGGCTTTGCATTCCGGCTGAAAGATTATAAATGAGTAACAGAGATGGATGGGGCTGCCTGTGCGGTTACGCACCTCCTTCTGGCTGCACGTCTTTGGCCAGAACTTGAGCAACGCTCGAATCACCTGGGAAAGAGGGCAGGAGAGACACAATTACAATTTAGTTCGGTTTCAATATGAGCACATACATAAAAACTATGTTTTTTTTTTATCAGGTTTGTGTGAAACGAGTTTGTGGAGTGGTAGCGTCAACTGCTGTGTTCCGCGAGACGTTTGATCATTCTCGGGTTGGTGACATTGCCCGTTTGGACACCGTTTGGCATTTCTCGAAAGCGACCACCGCGTGCAACGCACGCTCTGGTCACAAGTCCCGGGGGCGAGGCAAACGTAAGCAGGGGGGGGGCCCTCGGTCACGTACGCCCTGGGGCTCACTAAGCGTGGGCGCATAGATCAGCGAGCGAGTGTGGGCGCGTAGGTCAGCGAGCGAGTGAAGAAGCAGGTCATCGGGGGGGTGGGGGGGGGAAATGTCAGTCTCCAACTCACCGGCTCCGTCAGCTGCGGGTCTTTCTCCAGGAACTGCACCACACAGTACGCGAGCTGCAACCGCACCGAGCAACAAAAACAGCACAATGCTTACTTGGTTAAAACTACAGCACAGGAGTCGAACAATGCAGGGAGATACCTATTTCATATGTATGTGAGGATACAGCGCACCTGTTTGTAACAAATGTGCATTTCCCTTGTCGGTAACAAAGGTACAACACATATCTGTGCGCATTGTGACCTGTCTGTAATAAGAGTAACTAGCACACATCTGTCTACATTGAGAGTACCAGCACACCTGTCTGTAACACGAGTAACTATAACACGCCAGTCTACAACAAGGATAGAGCACATTTGTAAGCAAGGATACAGTGAACCTGCCTGCCGTGCGTGTGCAGCATCCACAACACCTGTCTAACAGGGGCAGAGCACGCACCTGTGCGTGGAAGAGGGAGAGAACCTTGACAGTGTGCAGCGGGAGCAGCACCTTCACCAGGAACTGCTTGTGCTCCGACTTGAGGGGCATCGCAAAGCCGTTAATGATGCTGCACAGACACACGGACAAACACGCGGACACAGTCTCAGTGAAGATCCAGCCCAGGGCCAGGTTTAGAGATCTTTACCCATGAAATACCAGATCAGAGAAGAGGCACCCCCCCCACTCACCTTCCTCCTCCCCTTACACAGTCATCAACGCCAACACACACAAATACGAGTTTATTTTGTTTAACTAGCTGAGAACTCAAAAGACCATGACAGTCTCATGTGCATGAGTGACATGGGGCATTAGCCTGCCAGTAGGGGTCCATGACTGCTGTTATGTTAGTAGTAATTTGCGGTGTAATTTTTTCGAATTTGGCAAATTTGGACCCCGACACAAGCACACAATGGCCTACTCTTACGAATGACGCCCAGGGATCGTTAACATCTGTGAGTGAAGTAGACGAAGCGTGGTGCTCTGTGCTTGAACCACTCCCGTTCGATGTCACAGGTTACTGCTCGGAGACATAAACACGAGTCCAATTCTACGCGCAGGGTCAGGATGCAACGCCGATTTACTGGCGCATGCGAGGGCAGTAGCGGGCACCTGTAGCAAGATCCATCGTTGCACTGTACAACGCTTCCACGTTTACGCTTTCCACCTAACACCAAACCCGCACTGACCGGCGTGAAGTACGGTCGATAAACCCCCACGGGCCCGCACGCCGTAGGGAAGCCCTCATCCAGCAACGGCGTGACAATGGGGGCGTACGTGTGTGCGCACGCGAAGGTTCCTCTCACCTGCCCAGGATCTCGAGCAGCTCGGCCACGCCATTGAAATGTTCCGTCTCATAAATGAACCTGCAACACACGGCAGGGGATGGTGACGAAGGGGCCACCGGCAGGTCCTAGGGGTAGAGGAGGATGACCACCATCTGACCGAACGTCAAACATCAAACACTGGACGGGATGGAAGTGGGCTCGGTTGAAAGACACCGCAACGGACAGGAAGGAGTGGAGAGACGATGCGAGGAGATGCCGGTGAAGGGCATGGTCACGGCCCACGGCCCAAGAGGACAAAGAACCAGAGGAAGAATAAAACACAGTGCCATTATGAAAAGGCCTCCACTTATTTGAAGGTACCAAATGGGTATTTCGGGTGGTCACGTCGCAGAACCAAGAGAAACGACGACAGGCTTGGGGAGGAGGCCTTCATCCTGCAGTGGATTGATCATGGCCGATGATGCCGATGATGGGAGCAGCGGAGAGCACGGTCGGTTGGAGCAGTGCGTGGATCCGTGTCTCACCGGAGGAAGATGTTATTGATCTGCTTGCGGATGAAGGCGCGCAGCCCCAGGAACTTCCCGTAGATGCGGTGCAGTACGGTCTTGAGAAACTCGCGCTCCCGCGGGTCCTCGCTGTCAAACAGCTCAAGCACCTGCGCGGTACACATGCAAGGTACAGGCGTGGAACAACACACGGTACAGGCAAGGTTCACACGGTACAGGCAAGGTTCACACGCATGTTACAGGCATGGCATACACGCAGGGTACACTCGTAGTATGCACACAGTACGCGCGTGGTACACACGCACGGTACATGCACAGTACACACATGGTACAGGCATGGCTCACACACGCACAGTACACAGGCACAGTTAATACGCACGGTATTAATGTACGGTATACACGCGCAGTACGCATGCTGTACACGCCACAGTCCACATATGATTCATCACCCCACATTTCCCCGCTGTGGCGGAACGTGCTCCTGGCAGGTGACGTTGTTTTTTGCCAATCAGGCAGAACACGGAGGCACGCTATGCGGTTGGCGACCGTACCTGTAAGACAAACTTCTGGTCGATGTACTTTTTGGCAATGGCCGGCTGGAACTCCGCGCTCTCCAGGAAGCGCAGGAAGAACTCGTAGACGAGCTGTAGGAGAGCGGGAGAGCGGGAACGTTTGTGCGCTGCTGTTGGTCCGTGCGGCCACGTGCAAGTGATCGCAGTGGCAATGTAAGTTGTGTGAATTTTGTTTTCAAATGTTTTCCAGCGAAATGTTGAAAGCGTTAATGCATTAACTCTGTCCGTCCACCTGTCTATCACTCAGGGTCATGGAAACTCTCGTAAAGATGACCCAATACAAATGGAATGTTAATGTAAAGTCATGTTGCTGTTAGGGACTTGCGCCATAGAAAACTGGCCACGTTGATCAAAGGCTCGCCCCAAAAGATGTGACAAGGCATCGCGTGTGGCTCACAAGGTGATACAATCATCACAAACTAAATACCTCTAGGGACAAACACACACGTTAAAAGCGTCACAGAATACTTGTATTGCATGCTTTCTTTTCAAGTTGTTATTCTGCATTAAACTGGATAGGAAATAGCATATGTACAGTGAGGGAAACAAGTATTTGATCCCCTGCTGATTTTGTACGTTTGCCCACTGACAAAGAAATTATCAGTCTATAATTTTAATGGTAGGTTTATTTGAACAGTGAGAGACAGAATAACAACAAAATCCAGAAAAAAGCATGTCAAAAATGTTAAAAATTGATTTGCATTTTAATGAGGGAAATAAGTATTTGACCCCTCTGCAAAACATGACTTAGTACTTGGTGGCAAAACCCTTGTTGGCAATCACAGAGGTCAGACGTTTCTTGTAGTTGGCCACCAGGTTTGCACACATATCAGGAGGGATTTTGTCCCACTCCTCTTTGCAGATCTTCTCCAAGTCATTAAAGTTTCGAGGCTGACGTTTGGCAACTCGAACCTTCAACTCCCTCCACAGATTTTCTATGGGATTAAGGTCTGGAGACTGGCTAGGCCACTCCAGGACCTTAATGTGCTTCTTCTTGAGCCACTCCTTTGTTGTTTTGGGTCATTGTCATGCTGGAATACCCATCCACGACCCAGTTTCAATTCCCTGGCTAAGGGAAGGAGGTTCTCACCCAAGATTGGACGGTACATGGCCCCGTCCATCGTCCCTTTGATGCGGTGAAGTTGTTCTGTCCCCTTAGCAGAAAAACATCCCCAAAGCATGTTTCCACCTCCATGTTTGACGGTGGGGATGGTGTTCTTGGGGTCACAGGCAGCATTCCTCCTCCTCCAAACACGGCGAGGTGAGTTGATGCCAAAGAGCTCCATTTTAGTCTCATCTGACCACAACACTTTCACCCAGTTGTCCTCTGAATCATTCAGATGTTCATTGGCAAACTTCAGACGGGCATGTATATGTGCTTTATTGAGCAGGGGGACCTTGCGGGCGCTGCAGGATTTCAGTCCTTCACGGTGTAGTGTGTTACCAATTGTTTTCTTGGCGACTATGGTCCCAGCTGCCTTGAGATCATTGGCAAGATCGTCCCGTGTAGTTCTGGGCTGATACCTCACCGTTCTCATGATCACTGCAACTCCACGAGGTGAGATCTTGCATGGAGCCCCAGGCCGAGGGAGACTGACAGTTCTTTTGTGTTTCTTCCATTTGCGAATAATCGCACCAACTGTTGTCACCTTCTCACCAAGCTGCTTGGCAATGGTCTTGTAGCCCATTCCAACCTTGTGTAGGTCTATAATCTTGTCCCTGACATCCTTGGAGCATTCTTTGATCTTGGCCATGGTGGAGTGTTTGGAATCTGATTGATTGATTGATTGCTTCTGTGGACAGGTGTCTTTTATACAGGTAACAAGCTGAGATTAGGAGCACTCCCTTTAAGAGTGTGTTCCTAATCTCAGCTCGTTACCTGTATAAAAGACACCTGGGAGCCAGAAACCTCTGATTGAGAGGGGGTCAAATACTTATTTCCCTCATTAAAATGCAAATCAATTTATAACATTTTGACATGCGTTTTTCTGGATTTTTTGTTGTTATTCTGTCTCTCACTGTTCAAATAAACCTACCATTAAAATTATAGACTGATCATTTCTTTGTCAGTGGGCAAACGTACAAAATCAACAGGGGATCAAATACTTTTTTCCCTCACTGTATGCAAGTACGGTATTGTTGGGACCGGCCATGAGTTTACGCTACGTCTGGTGTCACGAAGATGAGGGGAGAAGAAAGGAAGTGCTCTGTGGTAGAGGGAGGTGGGTTAAGTGGGGGAGTGGGTATTGTTGTGGTGATACTACTTAATTTTATTTATTTATCGATGAAGTCCCATCAGGACTCAATTTCCAGCAGGGTACTGAATTAAGATGCTTGGTCAGTTCTGTTCACCGGTGTTCCGAGCGTCATGAATGGTTTAATAAAATATACCCTTTCACAATTAAGTGCATCCGGCAAGTAATACATCGCAATGGCCTATGTAAACCCGTGTGGGATTTCTCAGGGCTGTGAGTGTACTGTGGGGTGGGGGGGCGAGCACGCACCTGCAGGTGGGGCCAGGAGACCTCCAGCATGGGCTCGTCCTCCTCGGGGTCAAACTCGTTGTTGTCGTTGGGCGGGAGCGCTCGGAAGACGTTGCAGGAGACCTGCGGGCGACCATACGGCGACACCGCCGCCGCATTAACTGCCACCGCCAACCACGCTTATGCCGCGTCAACCACATTCAGCACAACGGTGCTCCGGTTTACAATCTCTCCTCCCGCCACAGAGATCCTGCAGGGGTATCTCTCCGGTTTGTGCATCTTGAGCTTAGGCATGAAACGATTTATGCTCTTCCCGCCAGCGACTCGACGATACGATGTAAAAAATCAGGTCACATGGAGGTCACAATTCAGCAGTGGATTGACACAGGGACTTATTATAGTTATTATGAACTACTGTGGAATGGACACAGACATGGGCCAATAATTAGCGGAGTCCAACAAAACAGACCTCACATGACTGAGAAATTGGCATGCAGAAGAATCATTCTTAATCATTATTATTACCACAGCAACAAAAGCAGCCTTTACAGAGATGAAGTCTTGCATTCTTTTCCTTCAGGTATAAAACGTGATAACATCAAGGCTGCCATTAAATACTCTTTTTCTAAAAACACAAAAGAGTGGGGGGGGGGGGGGGGGGGGGTGCCAGCAGATTTCTAAAGAGCCTGAAGAACGAGATGGCACCCGCCCCTTCTCTACCGGCGCCCACGTGGCCTTGATCGCACGCCACGCACGTGTCGAAGAGCACACGTGGGCGCCATGACGCATGCAGCCATCGCCACACAGCGCCGCGGCCATCAGCGAGACGAGAGAACAATTCGGTAAACAGAGGCTTCAGCCGTAACTAAAACACAAAGTGAGTAAACACGAAACAGAGGGACCCACGCGTGACCTGCCGACCCGGCCACCCTAACACCGGCACCTGGCAACGCATTCCTGGCCTAGGCGGCATTCTAGCAGACCTAATCCCTCAGACCCCAGATGAAGAGCGTAGCGTTATGTGCGGCGGATACTTGGAGAGAGGAAGACGTAAGAACAAGGCTGCAAAGTCTCAATGTGGGCTTTGGTGATGAATGGAGGCAATCTGTTGGAGTGAAAGATGGAGGCTCTAGAGCAGGCTTGGGAGGAGAGGAGCCGGCGTTAGAATAATGCTGGCATTGCAGGAGATGTGCATTGGCCACAATCTCGGAGGTGAAAGCTCACGCTGACGGAAGGTGCTGAAGGAAATTATTCTGGGACAGAAACCGAGAGGCAGTCCAAGAAAGATGCTGCAGGACTGCCTGAAGGAAGGAGCTCGTACAGTGAGGGAAAAAAGTATTTGATCCCCTGCTGACTTTGTACGTTTGCCCACTGACAAAGAAATGATCAGTCTATAATTTTAATGGTATGTTTATTTGAACAGTGAGAGACAGAATAACAACAAAAAAATCCAGAAAAACGCATGTCAAAAATGTTATAAATTGATTTGCAATTTAAGGAGGGAAATAAGTATTTGACGCCTCTGCAAAACATGACTTAGTACTTGGTGGCAAAACCCTTGTTGGCAATCACAGAGGTCAGACGTTTCTTGTAGTTGGCCACCAGGTTTGCACACATCTCAGGAGGGATTTTGTCCCACTCCTCTTTGCAGATCTTCTCCAAGTCATTAAGGTTGAGGCTGACGTTTGGCAACTCGAACCTTCAGCTCCCTCCACAGATTTTCTATGGGATTAAGGTCTGGAGACTTGCTAGGCCACTCCAGGACCTTAATGTGCTTCTTCTTGAGCCACTCCTTTGTTGCCTTGACCGTGTGTTTCGGGTCATTGTCATGCTGGAATACCCATCCACGACCCATTTTCAATGTCCTGGCTGAGGGGAGGAGGTTCTCACCCAAGATTTGACGGTACATGGCCCTGTCCATCGTCCCTTTGATGTGGTGAAGTTGTCCTGTCCCCATAGCAGAAAAACACCCCCAAAGCATATTGTTTCCACCTCCATGTTTGACAGTGGGGATGGTGTTCTTGGGGTCATAGGCAGCATTCCTCCTCCTCCAAACACGGCGAGTTGAGTTGATGCCAAAAAGCTCCATTTTGGTCTCATCTGACCACAAAACTTTCACCCCTCTGAATCATTCAAATGATCATTGGCAAACTTCAGACGGGCATGTATATGTGCTTTCTTGAGCAGGGGGACCTTGCGGGCGCTGCAGGATTTCAGTCCTTCACGGCGTAGTGTGTTACCAATTGTTTTCTTGGTGACTATGGTCCCAGCTGCCTTAAGATCATTGACAATATCCTCCCGTGTAGTTCTGGGCTGATTCCTCACCGTTCTCATGATCATTGCAACTCCACGAGGTGAGATCTTGCATGGAGCCCCAGGCCGAGGGAGATTGACAATTCTTTTGTGTTTCTTCCATTTGCGAATAATCACACCAACTGTTGTCACCTTCTCACCAAGCTGCTTGGCAATGGTCTTGTAGCCCATTCCAGCCTTGTGTAGGTCTACAATCTTGTCCCTGACATCCTTGGAGAGCTCTTTGGTCTTGGCCATGGTGGAGAGTTTGGAATCTGATTGATTTATTGCTTCTGTGGACAGGTGTCTTTTATACAGGTAACAAGCTGAGATTAGGAGCACTCCCTTTAAGAGTGTGCTCCTAATCTCAGCTCGTTACCTGTATAAAAGACACCTGGGAGCCAGAAATCTGACTGAGAGGGGGTCAAATACTTATTTCCCTCATTAAAATGCAAATCAATTCATAACATTTTTGACATGTGTTTTTCTGGATTTTTTGTTGTTATTCTGTCTCTCACTGTTCAAATAAACCTACCATTAAAATTATAGACTGATCATTTCTTTGTCAGTGGGCAAACGTACAAAATCAGCAGGGGATCAAATACTTTTTACCCTCACTGTACATAATTATTAAAATATTTGTATTCACGATGTACTTTTTAATGTTTTGTTCTGCAGTTGTATTTAGACATTCAAATCTGGATGCTTGTTTTTCGTAATTAAGGCCAGTTCTCCCTTGAAAAATAAACTTCAGATCTTAAGTCGGCTATTACCCCATTAACAACGTCGCCTATCACTCTACGTCTTATTGTGGCATACCTTGACCTTAAAGGGTCTTTCAGGTCGAGTTATGCCAAAGAAAGAATTGCCCAGAAGGAAATCAGTGTTAAATGTGTCTTCCATTAGCGAAGGCCTCTGGGTATTAAAAAAACCCATCGGTGTCAATGCCCTCCAAGGGGAACATTCCACAATCAGCATGTGCAGAGCAATGCTCCGGACCGGCTCACAGCAAATCCGCATCGGGTTTTTACAAGACCACGTAAAACAGGTGCCTCCCGCACACACTCATTGTGAACGCTTTCCAATAAGACCCACCCTCTAATTACGCCTACACGGCACACCCACCCACCCACCCAGCCACTCACCGCCAAGTGCGATTTAAAAATAAAACAAAACTCAAATAATACATTGCGTGCCAGAACACACACTTCATCTGGAGTGCCACGCGATGGTGACACCGTGGCAATGGCTCTCACGGTGCCACAGTCACAGCGTCACATCATGCGACAAAAGTCCCGAAATCTGAAGACGGACTCCCGTCGAAGGAGGCATCGGTGGTTGCTGGTCGGAGGTGAGGAGGCAGGACTGAGAATCATCGTGCAAACGAAAAGACAAGGCCTGCACGAATGGACACACCAATTTAACAGAGGCCAGCGTTAGACGCAGCCAATTAAACGTAAATTACCCATTCCTTGCCGCCCCTGGGGGCTCGGGCAGGCAATAAATAAAAATAACGCCCCGGCATAATCGTAAGTGCGACATGGGCTGAAAACTAAACAGCTTTTTAATCATAACAATTGGCCGACTCCACCACGGCACGTTTGCAGCAGACGCTAACAAGCTGCCACGAGGTGCTGCTGGTAAAGAGCAGAGGGCAGCTGCTGGTAGCGCCGGCGCCGCAGTGAGCACCTGCCACCAACGTTGTAACAAGCCACGCCAAGATTTACGGCGTTAAAACAACCGTGGGCATGCGGGTGAATTTCCTACGTGACCAAAGAAAATCCGCTGCTGCATGCGACGCTCCGTGTGTGTAACGAGCCGCTACATGTGGTGATGTAATCGATGGACTGGATTGCAATTGATTATTGTGATGTTATCCATGTTGCCCATGGCCAGAAATCGAATCCAGGTCACCGAGTTGGTCGCTCAGTAAGCCAACTACTTTGCCACCACTCCTCACACCTATGTAGGCACAAAGGCTTTGTGCAAGCATACTACAATAAGTCATCCTAATGAATTACTGCTGCTTCGGTGACTGCTGGGATGAAGTATAAATGATATCAGCAGATTTTTCCTTCGTTTTTTAAGCAAGTTGCACAGCTGGTGAAGCAGACACCTTTGCACTAAAATGTAAACCACCACTGCTATGAGCGCATCAATCACTGGGCTTCATTTAGAACCAGGTGAGAGCTACACCGAGAGAGAAAGGGGAAGAGATGGATTACGCAACAGTCGCCACCCAGAGACACCATCGTGACTATTAAGAAACCTAAGTGGGCTTGGGTAGCAATCGTCGCTCGAAGGGATGATGAGCGCTGATCAAGGAGAAGGAGCGGTAGTCAAATGAGGGACCAAGCCCAGGAGGGCGTGCACTGTGGAGATGGATGATGACATTAACTCGTGTGCAGCTGCTTGGTGCATTGCAGGACCGCGAGGCATGGGCGGGAGCTTGGAGAGACCTTCATCCAGGGGCCCCGCGATGGCGAGATGTTATCTCCCTCGCCTGGTATGCAGGACGTCACGGGTTCGATTCCAACCCTGACGCCTGCTGTATATTTGGTGTATGCATGTTCTCCCCGTGGTCGGGGTGTTTTTTCTCCGGGCCCTCCGGTTTTTTCCCTCCACATTTAGATTCAATACGCGTTTAGAGTATTTGACTGCTATAAATTTCCACGTGATAAGCCACTTCGTTGAGCTATCAATTGTGGCTGCGTCACTTCTGAAAACGAGCTATATAGCTCAGTAGGCTTAACCTCGTAAATAAAATTGTTTAGTTTTTAATTTAAAAACATTTAGTTTAGTTTATTAACGATGGCTGATGATGATGATTACTCAACAACACAAGAGGTTTCTGCTGCTGCTGGAGGACAAGGTGTAGCGGTGTAGTGTCAATAAACTCTTTAGCAAGAGAGACCTGGCGGTTTCGGCTACATAGAAGAAACAAAAACGCAGGGCACAACCAGGACAGCGCGGGCCGGAGACAACAGCGGAATTTGCTCGTCCACTCCCCCTACCCCACCCCCCCCCCACAAAGATCCCTTTACCCAAAAAGGAAGGCTTTCCTACGCAAACACCAGGGTTCAACACGAGGTCGGTAAACAGTGCAGCCGCTCCGCTGAGGGGTTCAAGTGTTCGGCTCAGACTTTTTTTCCCCCTCCCATCTTGAGTCCGGCTTCGGCCTCGAAAATAAATAGGAAGCGCTCATCCTGTTACCAACTCTCGCGTGGGGTTTGCGGTGTCACTGAGAGCACCATGGCAACATCTCTCAAGCGCACACACGCTGCACGCAGGCCACTGGACAAACATTTGCCAGTTTTAATGAACGTGTACTGCCCTTTTCTGCATCCACTGCTGGATAACGACCTCCCCATGCCACCACCGCCACCCACAATGCACCACCATCGCCACCGACCACACACATCACTATCTAGTATACACCACTTCCACCACCTACCATACACCACGACCATACATCACTATCACCACCGCCCAACATACACTATGACAACCCACCATGCCACCACACACCACCGTACAGCACATCCGCCGCCACCCACCATGCGTATGATCTCGGGGTAGAGCGGCTCTGTGAGAGAGCCTCGCCCCGAGGTGAGGTGGTCGAGCAGCTCGTTGAGCACAGCGCGCTTCAGCTCCTTGGCCTTGAGGTCGGAGACAGAGTCGAGGAAGTCGAACACCAGGCAGCACTGCTGCAGCTTGTGGCAGAACAGCTCCTGCACCTCCCCCGCCGGCGTGTCTGTGCGGGCGAAGCAAGCCGTGGGGAAGAATGATCATGAACACGCACGGATCCCCACAGCGCCCTCCGACACGTGGCCGTCCTCGCAAGCGATGCCATCCTCCAAAGGACCGATGCGCACGCACGTAACCAGACAGCGCTCTCCGGCTGTGATCTTAGGAATGGGGTAAAAACAGGATAGAATGAGGCCATGAGAAGGAGAGAAGATAGGAAGAAGACAGTAAGAAGATAAAAGATTGGAAGAAGACGACAATGGTGGGATGAAATTGCGTCACGGCGACGATGGAGCGGTGTTCATTCTGCTCAACATGACAGTCCTCTTCTGCACACCTGACACGAGATGACCAATTTGTCTCCAACGAACCAATTAATCAGTTCATCAACTAATTACGGATGATTTTTACGCTCCCGATATGAATCACAGCTGTCAGAATCAGTGTTGAACAATTCACCTACTGCTGTTCAGTGAGACCAGTGCCGTAATCGCACTCTCCAGTATGTGTTAAAGGTCCAGAGAGGCAGGCAGGCACACATACAGACGATACACACAACCCGTGTTTTATTAAGTTACCCAAACAGCATAGGCCATGATAAGATTACAATTTCAAGTGATTCACTGCTTCTAAAGACCCCAACTAACCCACAACAGCCAAGAAGGTAGTTAGTTTAATCGTTGGTTGCTATTTTGTGTGGCATATCGCTCTGCGGGGGCTTCAGCCCACCAAGCAGAAACCCAATGTAGTAGCGCGCGGTCCGTTGCGATTACAAATCGTAACTAATCCCTCCGAGCCGCCCTCGTTGATCCGTTGAAAACCTGTCGCAATCCAGCTGACCGGAGCACAGGCCGGCACACTGCTCACCACCCCCCACCCCCCGCCGGCATCACCGAGCCTCTAATCATCAGGATGGGCGTGCATCGGCCGTTTAAAACGCAACCTGTAATTCCGCTGCATAAAAGGGCCCCATTAAAGATTGATAAACTTCGCTCAATACACGGTGTCTGCGGACGCCAACTGGCAGATTAATAATGTAGGAACGTGCCAACGCGTTCAATACGTTTACAGTCAAAGTAATAACACAAAGTGCAATGGTTTCCCGTCATTCGCACTGTCATAGCAGCCGCAGCAGCGATGGCAGCCGCAGCAGCGATGGCAGCTCGGTGGATAATATTCGCGACTTCAGAGTCTATGTCAAAATCACCACGCAAGCCTCCGATCTCATCAGGTCTTGGAAGCTAAGCAGGTACCGTCCTGGGAATGCCAAGTGTTGTGGGCTTGGGCTATGAGATGGCCAGGAGATGGCAGTACAGCAATGAACTCCGGCACCCATCTGTACGGAGTTTGGAATGTATATCCCTTCACATGTGTGGGTTTTCCCCGGGTTGTCCAGTTTTCCCCCACGTGAAGCTATAAACTCCTTCATGGAACTGGACAAACATCCAAATGTAGGATGTTCCTCAAAGAGTGTCTTGACACTCAGCGAAGCTTTCCTGGATCAAAATGGCATTATTATTTTCCATTGTCATTACAGTCAAGGGGTTTCTTCCATCAGAGCACGACCTGGGCCTCATTCATGATGCGAGGATTACAAGTAGCGACGAATCCCTCCGAGCCGCCCTCGTGCTCCCTCGAAACCCGCCGCAAGTTAAATCCCAAGAAAGAAAGGGAGCTCTTGTCTTGGGACACACCTAAGTATGTTGAACTTCCTTCGCACCGCATGTAGGCATCCGTGCTAACCGGAGGCTGCACGAAGCATGAGGTCTGGCGAGCATTTCGAACTATTGTCCGTTAAAAAGAGATAAAGACCTCGGGACTCGTGTTGAGGCACAACAGCTTGTTGTGATGGCACCGGACGGACATGGAATTGAAATGCATGGGAGTGGCGTAGCCGTGGCAACATTCGGGCACCATAATGGGGCACCCGACCATGACTTCGAATTGAGTTTGGGCTAGCCTTTGTCATGCAGCCTCAACGATCGCCATCCAATGTACGAGATAATCCGTTCGGTTTGTGGGAAGCGTCTTGCTGTACATACCTGACCACGAGGTGAGTGACTGAAGTGGCTTTTGGAGCGAGTCAATGAGATAACGATGGCCAGGTGCTAGAGGTGCTGGGAGTAATGGAGAGGGGAGGGATGGGGAGGGGAGGGATGGGGAGGGGAGGGATGGTGAGGGGAGGAATGGTGAAGGGAGGGATAGGGAGGGATGGGGAGGGGAGGGATGGGGAGGGATGGGGAGGGGAGGGATGGTGAGGGATGGGGAGGGATGGTGAGAGATGGGGAGGGGAGGGATGATGAGGGATAGGGAGGGGAGGGATGGGGAGGGGAGGGATGGGTTGGTGAGGACAGGGATGGGGAGGGATGGTGAGGGATGGTGAGGGGAGGGATGGTGAGGGGAGGGATGGTGAGGGGAGGGGAGGGATGGTGAGGGGAGGGATGGTAAGGGATGGTGAGGGGAGGGATGGTGAGGGGAGGGATAGTGAGGGGAGGGATCGGGTGGGGAGGGATGGTGAGGGGAGGGATGGTGAGGGGAGGGATGGTAAGGGATGGTGAGGGGAGGGATGGTGAGGGGAGGGATAGTGAGGGGAGGGATGGGAGGGATAGGGAGGGGAGGGATGGGGAGGGGAGGGATGGGGAGTGGAGGGGAGGGATGGTGAGGGGAGGGATAGTGAGGGGAGGGATGGGGAGGGGAGGGATGGGGAGGGGAGGGATGGGGAGGGGAGGAATGCAGAGGGGAGGGATGGGGAGGGGAGAGATGGGGAGGGATGGTGAGGGGAGGGATGGTGAGGGGAGGGATGGGGTGGGGAGAGATGGGGAGGGGAGGGATGGGGAGGGATGGGTTGGTGAGGGGAGGGATGGTGAGGGGAGGGATGGTGAGGGGAGGAATGGAGAGGGGAGGGATGGGGAGGGGAGGGATGGGGAGGGGAGGAATGGGGAGGGGAGGGATGGGGAGGGGAGGGATGGGGAGGGGAGGGATGGTGAGGGGAGGAATGGTGAAGGGAGGGATAGGGAGGGATGGGGAGGGGAGGGATGGGGAGGGATGGGGAGGGGAGGGATGGTGAGGGATGGGGAGGGATGGTGAGAGATGGGGAGGGGAGGGATGATGAGGGATAGGGAGGGGAGGGATGGGGAGGGGAGGGATGGGTTGGTGAGGACAGGGATGGGGAGGGATGGTGAGGGATGGTGAGGGGAGGGATGGTGAGGGGAGGGATGGTGAGGGAGGGGAGGGATGGTGAGGGGAGGGATGGTAAGGGATGGTGAGGGGAGGGATGGTGAGGGGAGGGATAGTGAGGGGAGGGATCGGGAGGGGAGGGATGGTGAGGGGAGGGATGGTGAGGGGAGGGATGGTAAGGGATGGTGAGGGGAGGGATGGTGAGGGGAGGGATAGTGAGGGGAGGGATGGGAGGGATAGGGAGGGGAGGGATAGGGAGGGGAGGGATGGGGAGTGGAGGGGAGGGATGGTGAGGGGAGGGATAGTGAGGGGAGGGATGGGGAGGGGAGGGATGGGGAGGGGAGGGATGGGGAGGGGAGGAATGCAGAGGGGAGGGATGGGGAGGGGAGAGATGGGGAGGGATGGTGAGGGGAGGGATGGTGAGGGGAGGGATGGGGTGGGGAGAGATGGGGAGGGGAGGGATGGGAGGGATGGGTTGGTGAGGGGAGGGATGGTGAGGGGAGGGATGGGGAGGGGAGGAATGGAGAGGGGAGGGATGGGGAGGGGAGGGATGGGGAGGGGAGGAATGGAGAGGGGAGGGATGGGGAGGGGAGGGATGGTGAGGGATGGTGAGGGGGAGGGGAGGAATGCAGAGGGGAGGGGTGGGGAGATATGGGGAGGGGAGGGATGGGGAGGGATGGGTTGGTGAGGGGAGGGATGGTGAGGGGAGGGATGGGGAGGGGAGGGATAGTGAGGGGAGGGATGGTGATGGGAGGGATGGGGAGCGGAGGGATGGTAACAGGAGGGATAGGGAGGGGAGGAATGGTGAAGGGAGGGATGGTGAGGGGAGGGATGGTAAGAGGAGGAAGGGGGCGGTCTTGGTGAGCGAGAGGTCTGGCCTGCAGTAAGATATGGTATCATGTCAGCATCAATTTCAAACTGGAACTATTCCCCCCCCACCTACCATGAATCCTGGCACATTGCTCACTTTGATGGTATGTGATAGTATGTGAGAGTATGTCACGGGCACATCACAGTGTGGTACGGTACAACATACCACAGGACCTGTTTATTTTTGTCCGTAATGTTTTTGTTTTAAAGCACACACGAGAGCACACGCACACAAACAAACTCAAGACAGGAAAACGCGGGGGGGGCTGGGTGGGTGTGAGAAACATTTCTCTCCTCGCAAATCACGCCGGCGGGGCTTCTAATGGCAAGAGCGCCGTCTGTACACGTTATGCACAGCAGTCGGGCGGGTCGGTAATTACCGGGAACGCGCCACTTCGCATGCTTCGCGTGGCTGATTAAGTCGCTTAACAAGTGACTTTAACCTCGGGTGGCACACTACGAAAACTAATTCCTACGCACCATCGTGGCCGCGGTGCGACTCGCGCGACGCTTGCGCAATCCTCAACCCAATTACGGCGCTCGTGCCACCATAGTTTGACCCACGAGCCACGCGCGCTCCCGTCGCTCCAATTCGCCGACGCGAAGGACAGCGCAAGCCCCCTCCCCGCTCCCCGGAGGCCTCCCTCTCTCCACCTCGACTGGCGACCGGCACCTCCCGTGAACCCTGGCGTGGGAGCGATGTGCGAGGGACAATCCCGTCGCGTTACTCTCGCCCCACGCGCGGTTCACGGGGCCCACAAGGGAGGGAGACCCTGCTCTGGGTCTGACTCTCTCGCGGTCTCACTCTCTCTCACTCTGCATTTTGCTCTCCATCTTGCTCTCGTGCTCTACATCTCTCCCTCTTGCTCTCCATCGCTCTCTTTTGTTCACTCTTATCTCTCCATGTCGATCTTGCTCTCTCGTCCCTCTCCCTTTTGCTTGCTCTCACTCGGCGATGAG